GCTGTCAAGTCAGCTCCTGACACGTTGCAGGCAAACCCATGCACAATGGAACAAAACACTGCCTGGTCCGGTGGCATCCCCATGATAGTTGCAGATCAGACCTGGTGATCCATAGGAGTTTCACTGGCCACTTTTTGGACAGAGATTGTCAGGCCTTTCTTTCTAGTCCATCTTAGTCTGGAAGTTTTGTTGCAACCTGCTCAGCAGCATAGCAACACATAAGCTTCCACTGACAGATTGATGGTGGCTGTGCATGAGGTAAACCGGTCAGGAATTGAACCCAGGTCTCCCGGAAATCCAGGAGACAAGAACTCTGTCACAGAACTACAAATGCCCCCATCTGCACAGAGTAATTCATTATGAATTAATACATATTAATCTACCTGTATAAGGCAGGATCTTGGCTAATAAATCCATGAATAATAGAAGATTCAAAACAAACACTATTTTTAAAATTAAGGTCCAGGCTTAAGATTAACCCTTTCAATCTGGCCATTTTAATAGTTGTCTATAAAATCTACCAAATTCTGAAAGCCAGTCATTGTTGTGGTCCCACAATTACCCTGCATAGTATATGTCCTATTATTCTTTTTACGACAGAGAATAGGAGTTACTTTATGGTTTCTTTAGAGTTGATTTAGAACTGTGAATTGCTACAGTAGAGTAACTTAAAGGGTTAGGGTTTAGGATGACAATTATAACTAGCTGGACATTATAAACATGTTCCCTGTATGGAAATAACTTTGCTTCTTCAGAAACTACCTCCTGCCTTGAGAACTCTGCTTGAAAGAGGATTTAGTGTAATAGGATATAGCACAATCCATCAAAGGAAGCACATGATCAAGTGGGTTATGAACCAAAATGGGGAGCATGTGTGAAATAGGCTATTCTATAAAATGTATAATGTGAATGTATTTATCTAAGTATAAATGAAACTTCCTGTGCATATACATTTAAACTAGCTATTTTGCTAATTTTTTGTTCTATACTTAACGAATCCCACACCTGGCTATCTTTTCCGTTAGACTGGCCCTTTTATAGAATTGTCTTTCTCTGTTGGATCATATTTTCTCGTCATCTGAAAAACTTTAAAAGATCATCAAATATATTCAAACTGATAAAGTACATGTGTTTCAAATCCTTAAGTTATATTCAGATTTAAAGATACCTGTTCAATGTGCTGTCCACAACATACCTAAAGCTTATGTTTTCTCTTTTAATTTGCATTACACAAAATTTATTAATAAATTACATGGTAAGTTTGTTTGACATCCAATCCAAGATGCTGACAGAAAATCATTCACATCATCAAAATTGGGACAGAACGTAGGAGTGGTGTGTTTAACAGGAAAGGGACACTTTTTGTTTTACCCTGTATTCCCAGAACCTAGCAGGAATCATACATCTGGTACATGTGAGTGTGTTGAGTGAATGGATCTTTGTTCATCAAATGTTGTGCATATTATCAGGTTATATATAAGAAGTTATAGAAATGGGGAATTAAGGGATGCTTACATGAAATGAAACCATATAAAATTTTTTAATCACTTGTTTTATATGAATAAGAATAGAGGTAAATAGCTTTGATTATTAAATGATATCCATGATATGAGTGGTCATATTTTGTTGCCATTGTATGTAGAGAATATAAATGATATTTATGGTTCATCAAAATGAAAGTAGATAGGTAGTTTGATAAGACTCAGGTTTGTAATGCTAATTAGCTACATAATGAAAACACTACTCCTTGCCTAAGGTTTGAATAGAAAGCTTTTTCCCTAAAAGTATACTTTTCAGAATATTGGTGCTATGTGATAACTTATTTGGTGAGGCTTCACATATGCTATTCTAGACAGTTAATAGAGTATTTTTGAATGATCAGGATGACAGATTTCACTGTATGGTCTTTCAAGTATTTAATTTTGGTCTAAATGTAGACTGTTGGACTAGCATATAATCATTTTCACAAAATGCATAATCATGACTGCCAATTATTCCATGACTAACTATGCCCTGCCAGATGTTTCTCTGGTTCTGCTGAGTCATTTTTTTTTTTTTTTCCCCCCAGAACACTATGTTCCCACTAACTCCTAACTCTCCCCAGGCCTTTTTCCATATTTTGCTTTTCACCTGAATTTTGGGCTAAATGGTTTCATTGCTCCTTTTATCATTTTGTATGCATATAATAGCTTTCTATTAACTACTCTCAACTTCATCTGCTATCATAAAGTTTAACATCGCTTTCTGAGGGAGATATACATTTGTGCAAATTATCCTGAAAAGTCACTAAATCTTTCTACGCAAGGGACACTGTCAACAGCCTCATCATATGATTGAGTATCTTCTGAATCATCTAGCACTCAGACTTCTAGAGAAATGCTAACCAGCTCCCAAACTTTCACATTTGTTTCTAGCTCTTCAGCTACCTCTCCTCCTAATTAGATTTTCTGGCTGCAGGAAAGATTGTTTAATCACTGGGTAGACAGTTGGAGCTTGCTGTCAAGTGGTGCCTTTCAACCCATAATAGACTTGTATTTTCTTACCAATCTGAGCATTACGGAACACTCATTGTCTGGCCCCTAGACAGTACAATTGCCATGACAGATCTTACCTTTCAAATGCCAATGGAAATTTTTGACTCCATGGACAGATCCATAAGGTATTCATTGATTCGAAACATGTAAAGAGCTGACTACATGCCAGTCACTGGGCAAAGATTTGAGAGATGCCAAGAAAAAATCCAGTTCCTATTGGTATAATGGTTAAATGCTTGGCTGCTAACTGAAAGTTAGGAGTTCAGAACCACCAAACAGCGCCGTGGGAGAAAGATCTGACAATCTACTACTATAAACATTACAAAAAAAAAAAACAAAACACCACTCACTGCCATCAAGTCGACTCGACTCATAGCAACCCCTCAAAGCAGTATCGCTACAGAGTAGATTGCCCAATCTTCCTTCTGAGGAGTGGCTGGTGGGTTTGAACTGCCAGCTTTCTGGTTAGCAGTCAAATGCCTTAGGCAGTATGCCACCAGAGCTTGCTAGAAAACCCTATGGGGCACTTCTACTCTTTCCTATGGGGTCATTATGAGTTGGAATCAACTCATTGGTACCACAAGAGCTAAGCCCGGATATGCTATTTCAGTTCAGGCAAGGGGAAAATAAAGATTTTGCAGGATTTTTAATTTTTTTTCCAATCTTTTAAAATGACTGCAATGCTATGTTTCAGCCAACTGTATGGAATTGTGTACTAAAATGCAAGGCTGACATCCCTAGGAAAAAAGTGAACATGATAGAGAGACAACGCTCTTCTCACAAGAATTCTCTAGCCACATCTTGGAGGCAACTGTTATTAGTTACCAGAGAATCGATTCTGACTCCTGGCCAAGCTACACTGTGTGCAGCAGAGTAGAACTGCTCCATAGGGTTTTCAAGGCTGTGACCTTATGGAAGCAGATCGCCAGGGCTGTCTTCCGAGGTGCCTCTAAGTGGGTTTGAACTGCTAAGCTAATCTTCGGGCTAGTCGTTAAGCGCCACCCAGGGACTCCTGGAGGCAACTACAGAATAACTCACTGCCCTCGAGTGGATCCGACCCCTCCTTGGGTTTCCCAGGCAGTATCACTACGGAAGTAGATTGCCCAATCTTCCTTCTGAAGAGTGAGTGGCTGGTGGGTTTGAACCGCCAGTCTTCTGGTTAGCAGTCAAATGCCTTAGGCGCTATGCCACCAGAGCTCTAACTACAGAATAGTAATCAACGAATTACAGGAGGAACTTTTTAACAGGACAACTACAAAGCCGATGAATGGTGGTTAGTAACATTCTAAAGCCTGAGAATTTTACAGCAAAGCCCAGAAGGGGAAGCCAAGAAATAACTCAAAAAGCCCTAAACTTAAATCTAGTGGCACACAAGTCTGACTACGTTTTTTTATTTCATTTTTGGTTTCTCTACACAGGGCGGGAACTAACTTAGCCACAGCTGTGTTTTTCAACGTGAGAACAGTCCATTCTTGAACCACAGAGCTGCAAATGTCACCCTGGAATTCTCCCATAGGCAAACTTCCAGGTTTAGGTCACTAGCCCGAGTTGGGGCTGGGGTGCATTTCGGCTGAGCGCCATGGCAACTGCGATCTTGCCACTGAGGGCAGATACCTAACCATGGCAGATACCTGCATTTGTCCCACCTTTAGACAATGTGACCTACGCTAAAGATCCTGTGAGGTGGGCAGGCCAGGTATCCCTACCCCTGTGAGTAGAAGACGAAACAGCAGCTGGGGGAGGGCCCTGTTCCCTGGCACTCGGTTACTTGGCTGCAGAAGTCAGCGCCTCAGCCCCTCGTGAGCAAAGCGCCCAGAGTGCCGGACGTGCCCTGGAGGCGTACTTTCTATTCCGTACTTTCTATTCCGATTTGTAAATACCGTCGCTCCCACCCGCCCGGAAAACACTGTCTCCAAATGAAAAGGCATAATCCCCTTCCTTCCACTTGAGGAATCTTTGGTTGGCGGCTCCATCTTTCTTTTCTACAGACGCGGGGGGCTCGCAAGGGGTGGGGCGATGGGCGGGCTTGGGCCACAGGCAGGGCTCTGGGGGCGTCGCGCCACTGCCCGCGCGGCACCTGGAGCGGTCGGCTGCAGACTGATAACTTCGGGCTCCTCGACGAGTTTGAATCACGGGTGAGTCACCCCCAGTAGGGTCCCGCAGTTCCCTTCAGGGAGGAGGCGGGGCGAGGGTGTGGATTCGCCAGGGGCCGCCCACCATGACGGAGGGGACCCGGGCCGCGGGCGGGGATTCGCGAGGAGCCGCGGGGGCGGGAGCCCGAGGGCGGGCCCAGACACGGGCGCCACTGCGGGCTTTATATCCCGCCGAGCACTGGCTCTCACAGACTTGGGGTTCCCCGCGTCCGCTTACGCTCCCTCCATCCGCCCGAGGTCGCCTGCAGCTTAACCTCCCCAGCCTCTGGGGGCGCTACTGAATCCGCCAGACCTCGCTTTGGGCTCCTTAGAGATGGCGCCCCCCATTGGGCCCCGCGCCCTGCGCTCCGAGGCCGCTGTTTCTCTGACGCTCCTGCTGGGCTGGGTTCTCGCCCAGGTTACCCGCGCCGCAGGTGAGTGGCACCCGACCCCCACGCCTTGCCCTGGGGTGGCAGCAGGATCTCCTGACTTCCCTTGAGTAGCCCGAGGTGCCTCCCGCACCCACTGGCGTCAGCCGCGCTCACCCAGCAGGGTTTGAATGAACCGCTAGCCCCAGGGCGCGATGGCGCGGGACAATGTGGTTCGCGCCCTGGACCTCGCTGCCCCTTTCTGTTGGAGAAGTTTGCGCTGGGAATCCATTTTGTTGCATAAGTGCTTGTTTGGCTCCCGCTTTTAGTTGAGGAAAAGAGCTTTCAAGAATTCTAGACCCAGAATTATCTCATAATAAGGGCTACCGTGTAGTCCATGGAAACCAGCAAAGATCTTTAAACATTTGTTTGAAGGTGTGGGGCGTGGGGCTGCACCTTTCACAAGACCGCATCTGGACCAGTGGTTGAAAGGTTATCTTTCCTTACAAGTGTGTCTCTCCTGTAGTAGAGAACGGCCCTCGGTCTTGCAGAATGTTACTTGACTGGAGCAGGCACGGCGTTGTGCATGGCCCATATCCCCATTCCATGTGGGGGGATTGGGCAGAGACTGGGACCTGTTGAGTATCCGGAAAGCTGAACTTAATAATAAAGCATCCTCACCATATATGTCCGAAGTTGTGACAAGCCATTCCATCTCTGTGGACGCTTCAGTATAGAGAAACATTTAAATAAAAACGGAACGAGTTAAGATTTGACTTTTCATTGTATGCATTCCTAACTCTTCTGCACATGTAGGGCTTGCCCTTTTTTGTAACTTACTGAAAGCCTTTCCTAAAGAGACTGGCCTTCCTGGTAATTCGCGTCGTACCATCTTGCCCTTCTGAAGTTGGGTCAGGGACACCTTGGTACTTTGATGGTTTCTGGGCTGTGCTTCTAGGTCAAGTTATAACAGAACTTTTCTCTGTGAATAATTTCAAACAAAAATTTCAAGATCTTTGCAGATGTCCTTGGATTACAGAGTAGATCTTGCCATGAAATAATTGTGAGTCTAGAAAATTCTTGAAAGCTCCTTTCTTGATAATTCAGTAGTGAAGCTTTTGTAGTTAAAAACAACAACAAAACACTGAGGTTTATTGTGATAGGAGGGTGGAAAGGTGTTTTATATCATTAAAGAGACGTCTAAGAAGTGCATGTAATAATACTTATTTCTCTGACGTTTAAAGGGACTGCAGATATATTGAAAACATATAATTTAACTTGGAAATCCACTAATTTCAAGACAATTTTGGAATGGGAACCCAAACCCATCAATTATGTCTACACTGTTCAGATAAGGTAAGCTAGGTACAAACAAAAAGGGAAAAAGAAATTTAATGTTTTTGCTGTTTCCACTTTCCTGTGCTGAAAAACAAACAAACAGTCTTTTCAGCTAATTAATGGATGAGATTATTTACCAGATGACAAAGAAGAGGAGTCATTCATTGTAATTTGCTGGCCAGTATAGTATTGTATCAAGACTGAAACATTCCCAGACTTTAAATTGATATAAAGTTTTGGTTGCTTTTGGAAGTGATGGGGAAAATTCCTAAATGAAATAAAAACTGGAGAGGCAAACTTTTTTTGAGCCAGAAGTGGAGGCCATGACACATACATTTCTGGGTCAATGATAACTAACCTCATCGAAGCACAGACACCTTGTTCTTTGCTAACTGTCTAGACTGTGACCTGTGTTAGCCAAGAGGTGGGGAGGAACTCATATGTCTACCTTGCCCTCAAGCAGTGTTTGATTCATTAATCTTTGGATTCCGTGAATCAAAATTCAATTGCATACATGTTCTCTGCTAAGGCCAAATTAGTGACTCACTGTGCCTTGAGGAAAGACTCCTCTGTCTGTACCCTCAGTTGTCAAGGCTACTCTGCCCCTTCCATCTCCATTTCTGACTGGCTGCTTTCCCAAGGCCTCAGTATCCAACACATTCACTCCAAACGTCAGTGGTGTGCAGCATATCTTTCTTGATGGTTTTCTCCATATTCTTAACAAGTGTTCTAGGAAGAAATTCCTGAAATGTTCTAGGAAGCTTAGTAGAGAATGTGTTAAACAGAGGACAGCAGCTATGGAAATGCTTTCAATAGAAATTATAGAAAGGCACAAAAGTATTACTGGCTAAAATTAAAGAGTATTTTGTATTTTTTTTTTTAAATTGTTTTTCTCTTTTTTTTTAGCTCCTATGAAACCTTTTATAGGATTAGGAATGCAACTTCTAAGGATAGGGTGGCTCTTTTTGGTAGATGTTCTTGTTTTTTAAAATGAACTTTAGGATAACTATTGCCAAAGCAACAGGAAAGAGAATGTGTCTGTTTATGTGCATGTGTGTATATGTATATTTAGATAGATACAGATATATAAAGATAGAATACTTACATAACCTGAGATAAAGGCCAAATTTACACATTCTAACTACACTAGTCATTAATTCCCCTAATATGGAGCTGAAGTTTAACCTTAACACTTTCCTACTGGATACTACAAAATAAATTAATAATGAAAATAATATTTTAGGAAGAATAATTATCTCCTAAATATATCCAGACGTAAAGTTTGATGAGTATAGGGAAATACATTTATAATTGACCTGGCTTTTTAAAAGTATGCCTTTGTCAACTCTTAAGTTCTTAGACTTCATAAAGCTGTGTTTGTTTAAATGAGCACGGCCCCTGATCTACAGACATCCGGCAAGAGAGCTGCAGCTTGGGGAGTACTCACCATCGCAGGGCACTCCCACTGACCCAGGACAATGTCCCTATGCTCTCTGCCCCAGGCTAGAGGACCTGTGGGCAGTCCCATCAGCTTCTGCCTGAGACTACACTCTACCTCCACCCTCTCCGCAGATAAACAGGGTCCTTGATTAAAAAGGACCATAGCAAGCATTTTAGAGATGAGGAAGTGCTGTCCTGAGAGGGTGAGGTATGATTTCATGCCTTCATTGATGGTGAGTGCCCATGCCAGGACAGGAGCTGTGGTCTCCCCAGTGCCCCACACACCTTCTCCAGTAGGGTGTGCTGCAATCTGTCAGCGAGGTCCCGGTGCCTGGGGGAAGAGGGACAGCCTTTTCCATCCTGTCTCCTCAGTGTGCTTCCTGTCCTCCCAGTGTTTCTTGCCAGGAGGAACCATCTTAATCTGCTGCTCCTCTTCTCCACCCTCCTGCCCTAACTCCCGCCTGCCCTAACTGCTGATCCTGTCCTCAGCCACAAGATGCCACTGCTGGCCCAAAGCCCCCAGTTAGAGTTCCAACTACATTTTCTCCCTTTGGAAACAGTTTTGAATGGTGGTAGGGAAGTGTTAGTGACTCAGACCTTAGCACTGTACCATCACCTATATGTAATACTGATTTCATGGGAATGTTCTGGATTCTAAAATCAAATTTATAAATCTTCTGGAAAATAACCTGCTCCTAAATTGGTGACAGTCTGTATTCTGTTGGAATTTTTTAGTAATGCAGGTAGGACTTTTCTTTATTTCCAAGTCCTTGTGTTAAATTTTGCCATAGAATACATGGTTCCTGTGTGTGAGCTTGAAGGCCCCAAATACCCTGTCTCTCAGATGAAAAGTAGCCCAGAGAGTCAAGCAGCATCTTTCTGTCATCTGAGCTACTTGTTTGCCATCGTGGTAGAGAAGAATGATCATGTACTCACTCTCTTTTATAAATGGGAGTTCTATAATTTAAAAAAAAAAAAAAAAAAAAAATGCATTTTGGTCATTCTGGAATTAGATGGCCTCTCCACTTTTATCACAGGCAGTTAAAAATATGTAAGAAAAATAAAATATTTCTGTACCAATCTTGGTTTGTAAATTTTAGGATGAAGAGTAAGTTTACCAAAATCCTTCTACTCCAACTATTTAGTTCATATTTAAAACAAAACAAAACAAAAAAACCCCATGTTGTTAGCTCATATGCATGGATTTAGACAATTGAATCCATATGGTTGCTTGCCTCCCCCCTCAATTCATTAGTTCAACCTGTAAGTCCAAATCATCTCATACTTGTCTGGGCCACTATGTGCAAAGCCCCAAAGCCCTGCTGCTTAACCGGAGACACAAGCACCTGGGCTGTGTCGGAGAGCAGACTGTATTCATATGAAGTGCTTTATGGAGAGACAGGTTCTGGGGACAGAGGAGAAAGAGAAGAATTCTGAGGAGATCCGGGAGGTTCCTGGGGAGGGTAGGATGAGAGCCTGGCCTTGAATGGGGCATATATTACTAGCAGCGGGTGATGCTGAAGGGAAGAATAGTATAGCAGTCACATTACAGGCTTTTCTGCAGACTGTTTTGGAATGTTAGAAGCATTTCATTTCTAGTTGGAGTTCTTGAAATCCTTTCCTGTTTACTGTTATTTTGCAAAAGAAAGATTTGTCTTTAAGCTTCTTAGTGACTCAGACTAAGAATTTGTTGGGTACTGCCTGTATTGTTATTCTGTAGTCTTGGACAAGACCTATTCACATCTTACAAAATTGAGGGTAGCATGTAGCATAAGGAGACAGAAAGACCCATCTCTGTCACTCATTAATTGTGTAACCTTATACAAGTTACCTAGTGTCTCTGAGCTCCAGTATTCTCTAAGCAGATCCAATACCTGCTTAGAAGGATCATATCAAATGAAGTAACATGTGAAAAGAGCCCTGTACATTACCTGACATATAGTAGATTCAATAAATTATTAGTAACCACGTTAATAATGATGATGAGAGAATGCAATAAATAGAATGTACTGTGATATAAGGAGCCCTAGTGGCACAGTGGTTAAGCTCTTAGCTGCTAAACAAAAGGTCAGCAGTTCAAACTCATCAGCTGCTCTGTAGGAGCAAAGCATAGCAGTCTACTTCCATAAAGCCTTGGAAACCCTATGGGGCAATTCTACTCTGCCGTATAGGGTTGCTGTGAGTTGGAATCCATTCAATGGCACACAACCGCAGCAACTTTGATTTAATGTAATCAGACTAACAAAGAATTAGGTCTTGATGGAAAATTGCTCTTTCTCCCTTGCCATCATGACAAGTCTGCACATTAAGAGACGTTGTAACATAATGGTTAAGAGGCCAAACCCAAGAGTTAAATTATGTCTTGATGCAAAGTCTAGCTGTGTGGCTTAGAATGAGTTGCCTAATGTCACTTTGCCTCAGTTGCCTTATGTGTAAAAATAGGAGTGTTTACAGAGCTGCATCCTGGTTGCATCTAAACAGACAGCATCTAAAATGCTCAGCATACGAGATGCCTGATCAGGATTAGCTGTGGTTGCTGCTACATTAACATAGAATACCACAGCCAGAAAGGAGCCTGTCTTACTGGATGCAAATCATGATGTCCCATTTTTCTTTCTTTCTTTAGCACTAGACTAGGAGATTGGAAAAACAAATGCTTCCATACAACAGACACTGAGTGTGACCTCACCGATGAGATCGTGAAGGACGTGAATCAGACGTACACAGCACGAGTTCTTTCCTACCCAGCAAGGAATGGACATATCATCGCTGATTCTGATGTAGAGCCTTCTCGTACAAACTCCCCAGAGTTCACCCCTTACTTAGAGAGTAAGTAGGAAGAGAAATGGCTTGGTTTGTAATAACCTGTTATTCTTGCTGTTAAATCCATTGTCATGGAGGTGATTCTGACTCATACCAACCCTATAGGACAGAGTGGAACTGCCCCAAAGGGTTTCCAAGGATGTAGTTTTTATAGAAGCAGACTGCCTCATCTTTCTCCCTCAGAGCAGCTGAGGTGGTGGGTTCAAACAACTGACCTTTCAGTTAGCAGCTGAGCAGCCAACCACGGTACCACCAGGGCTCCTTTCCTCTTGTTAGGAACTTCTTAATACTCCTGTGAGCTTGTGATCCTTAACAGTCATTAGATAAAAAGATATTTATACATAAGCAATATGTATACATAAAATATTTTCTTTCTCAGAAACTGGTAAGTGCTACAATCCTCTTCACTTATTCTGGGTGTGGTAGGAGTTACACAGAACATGGATTCCAGATTTGACAATGGTATCTTCTAATAGCTTTCTCTGCTGGTCTGTCCCCAGACCCTACCAGCAGCTAGCTGGATGCTTAGAGAATAACAAATACATGAAGGCAGGGGTTTCAGCTTGTCCTCATACATGTATCATATATCCTGAATTATCTGTCCTATCCTCAGACCAGAAGTCCAATTTTCGGGTTTTTAAACACAGGGAAAGTCCACACAGGTTCCCTCTAATGCCATAATTGGGTTTTTCAGCCTGTTTCAGTCCATTGACCATGATTGAGTCCTGGGTATGCCAGCTCCTGCTGGCTCCCAGCCCACCTCCCTCGTGCTGTTTTTTAAGATGTGGAACATTCTCCTCCACAACCATTGCTCCAATAAGCTGGCTGTTTGGTCTAATAAGAGAATGCAGAAGATAGCTTCCAAGCAGGAGGTTTTAATTTGTTTGTGTGTTATCTATGGTTCTGGACTAGGCATTTTCAATAAACACACGTAGCACATTGAGAAGAGGGAAATCAGCTTTGCCTTTAAGGCCTACTGGTTAGAAGGAAAGTGTTGTGTTAGTGGTGCTTCTCCATTTACCCCTCTGACCACCCCATGAGAGAACAGTTTTTGGAAGTAGAGAGGAGGAGCCTGGCTGCCTTTCCTAAGCCTGTTTCAAAGATCCTTTCTTTAGGCTCTTCTAGGGCTTTTACCTGAGTATCTCTTACTGCATTTGGAAAGAGACCATGTGAGCAGCCATCTCCAGTAACTCTGCAAAGACAGTCATATCCATTCTCCCTCCCACTGATGACATCTCATTATTTCCTCTTATAAACTTGAGTTTTTGTAGGCGGTTTCCTCTTTGTGTAAGAGGGAACATATAAATAGAATGGTACAAAGTAGAAAATATGTATCTATTCATCTCGTGTATGTGTGTGCGTGTGCATGTGCATACACACGAGGGCAGATTTCCCAATAAGCAAAGGAAGCACAGGCTTACTTGTGCTTATTTATTAATTTCTAGTGAACAATCTCACGAGTTTCACCACAGTCATCCATGTGAGACTGTTCACAACAGATTAGAAAGTCAGCACAAGTACCTTCTTGCTTACTGGGTACTCCATTCTTGTCAGGGATTGTAAATTTGAAGAGACTTTGATTCTGTTAGAAGCTGCAGCACCGCTGAGAGAGGAATAGATGCCAGCCATACTCAGAAGCAGCACAGATAACCCCATGCTTCCCTTGGTTACTGGATAATCCAACACTGCATACGTACACACATACACACACACTCACACACACACTTTGTCCTGTTTGTATATAAATGGTGTTGATTGAGATTTTACTTTTATTCAACCAAAACACATGAGGTAATTGAGCCATTACAGAGATCCCAGGGTTAAAATAGGTTCCATGATGTACCGAAGACTTTCTGTGGGCTTTCCCATAGCCTTAAACATGGACTAAAACTGCACTGTTGACTACAGTAGCCATAACCACACATGTGGCCTTTCAGCAGTAGAAATATAGCTAATGCTAAGTTTCAAAAAATGTAAAAGATCTGAGAAAGTTTTTATGTCAAGTATTTGTTAAAATGGTAACATTTTAGATATATTTGGTTAAATAAAATATATTATTAAAATAAATTTCACCTGTATTTCTTTTAACTTTTTCTAGTGAAGCTACTCCCCCCAACTGAAAAAAAATTTACTGTCATTGAGTCAGTTTCAACTCACAGCGACCCCCATTGGGTTTCCAAGGCTGTAAATCTTTATGGAAGCAGTCTGCCTCATCTTTCTGCCACAGAGCAGTTGGTGGGTTTGAACTACCAACACAGAGCTCTGCTAATGTAGCTACTAAAAAACCCAGAACCAAAGCCTCTGCCATCAAGTCATTTCCAATTCATAGCGACCCCACTGGGTTTCCAAGGCTATAAATCTTTACGGAAGTAGAATGCCCTATCATCTTTCCATGGAGCAGTGGGTGGGTTTGAACCACTGACCTTCTGGTTAGTAGCCAAATACCTTAGGTACTATGTCACCAGAGCTCCTTAATGTAGCTACTAGGTGAGCTCTGGTAGCGTAGTGCCTAAGGCATTTGACTGCTAACCAGAAGGCTGGCAGTTCAAACCCACCAGCCACTCCTTGGAAGGAAGATTGGGCAATCTACTACCATAGTGACACTGCCTCGGAAACCCAAGGAGGGGTTGCTATGAGTTGGACCCAACTCAACAGCAGTGAGTTTGGTTTTGGTTTTTGGGAAGTTTAAAATTAGATATGTGGCTCTATTTCCACTGGACAGTGCTGCTGTAGACCAGGGAGTTGTGTTTCTATGCAGGGGTTTTAGAATCATGACTAGTTGTTATTAACTGCAGTAACTGAATGGGATTTTATTTGTATAGAGCTCTTTGGTTCCAACCAGAGTCATTTTCTGTATTTCAGCAAATCTTGGACAGCCAGCAATTCAGAATTTTGAACAAGTTGGGACAAAACTGAATGTGACAGTACAAGATTCACCTACTTTAGTCAGAAGGAATGGCACATTCCTGAGCCTCCGGGATGTTTTTGGCAAGGACTTAATTTATACTCTTTACTACTGGAAAGCTTCAAGTACAGGAAAGGTGAGTATTTGTTTGTTTTTGTAACTTGTTTTAAATTGTGGATCCTTGATTTTACACACATACACACACATACATACCCCACACACATACTTCTTCCCCAGATCAAAAGTAGCACCACAGGGACGGACTGAGAGGACAGTGTGTAGGACTCGGAGGGGTGCCTGCTGGAAGGGGAGTCAGGCAACTGGTCCTAGTTCTGCCTATTACTCTGACCAGCCTTGTGACTTTGGGCAGGGCCCTCTCAGAGAACCACCAGGGGTGAGATCAAATTATCACTAAAGTTTCTATTGTTGTTAAGTGCTATCAAGTTGATTCCTACTCACAGGGACCCTAATTGACAAAGTACTATATATGCCCCAAAGTATAATTGACAAAGTACCCTATGCTCCATAGGGTTTTCTGGGCTGTAATCTTTATGGGAGCAGATTGCCAGGTCTTTCTCTCATGGAGCTGCTGGAGGGTTTGAACTGCCAGCCTTTCAGTTAGCAGCTGAGTGCTTAACCATTGCATCACCAGGGCTCCTTCAAGGTTCTATGAGTCCTCACATTTCATGATTCCTTCCTCTGCTGAGGATCTCAGGCAAATTTTGTTTTCAATTCAACGATTAATACTTCTTTTTTTTTTTTTATTGCAAATACTCTCTAAAGGGCTAAATAGGGTTGTTTTTGTTGTTGTTATGTGCCGTTGAGTGGGACCCGACTCATAGTGACCCTTCCTTGGGTTTCCGAGGCAGTATCACTATGGAAGTAGATTGCCTCATCTTTGTTCCGAGGAGTGGCTGGTGGGTTTGAACCGCCAGCCTTCTAGTTAGCAGTCAAGTGCCTTAGGCACTATGCCTAAATTGGATGTCCTCAGTCTTAGAAAAGAAATCCTTAGCAGTGATCGAGGGAGCTGACTGATCTAAGTTACTTCTGATTCTTATATCTCAGGCCTTGATTGAAGCCTAGGCTTTAATCCCTCAGTGACTTAGTAAAGGGAAAGGAGTTATTCTGAGCCCAGATGAATTATGACCTCTTTACCTTTTTACAGAAAACAGCCAAGACAAACACAAATGAGTTTTTGATTGATGTGGATAAAGGAGAAAACTACTGTTTCAGTGTTCAGGCTGTGATTCCATCCCGAAAAGCAAACCAGAAGAGTCTAGAAAGCCCCGTTGAGTGCACCAACCAAGGAAAAGGCATTTTCAAAGGTGGGTGGCCCTGCTCAGCAGACTCCCAGAGGGCCAGCTCCGACCTCGGAGCCAGGATGATACTTCTTTTGTAAAGTATTCCAGGAGAAATAGCCCCCTGCCTTTTTAAAAAGTGAGTTTAGGCATTTAGAAATGTTTCAGTGTTGCTCCTTTGTATCCACAAGTATTTTCTTGAGCATCTGTCATGGGCTAAACTCTCTGCTGATCACTGGGCACATGGAACGTGCTTAGGATTTAGCATCAGATCGCAGATTTCTCGGAGCTTCTTTTTGTGCTTAAATCTTTCTTTTCATCCTGGGTCTGTACCTCTGGACCAACAGCAGCATTACCCAATAAATACTTGTGAGCACCGATGAAGGGGATTGTTGGGTACTGTCAAGTTGATTCTGACTGATAGCAGCCCTATGGGACAAAGTGGAACTGCTCCAGGAAATTTCCTAGGCTGAAATCTTCATAGGAGCAGATCACCAGGGCTTTTGTCCCCAAACGGTTAGTGAGTTTGAACCACCTACCTTTTGGTTAGCAGTGGAAGGCTTAACCATTATCCACCAGAGCTCCTTACAAAGGGTATAACCACCCCCCAAAAAAATAACAACCTATTACCATTAGGTTGATTCTGACTCATAGTGACCCCTACTGGGTTTTCAACATGGTAAATTTTTATGGAAGTAGATTGCCCCATCTTCCTTCCATGGAGCTGCTGTTGTGTTTGAACCACCAGTCTTCTAGTTAGCAGTCAAAGGCCTTAGGCACTGTACCACCAGAACTCCTTTTACAAAGGGCATAGGGGTATAAAGTTTAAGCCCTCAAGGAAAGAGATGGTGTATATCAGATATATCCAAGCACATGTGTGTGTACATGGCCAACACATCTAGGTACGTGCATGCACATAAATTGAGCTTACATGTACACTCCTTACACAGGCGTAAAGGAGTGGATGTTCAGCCATGTGCATGAGACCGAGAGCCTTGGAGTCTCCCTCCAGGGAATGGGAGGGGTGCTTGAGTACTTGAAGGAAAGAAAGAGTCAGAGGATAATGATGATGGCTTAACACCTTGCTAAAACAAGGTTTAAAATTTTCAAAACATATTTTTTAAAACTTTTCTGTTTATTGACATTACAGGAGAATAGGGCTCTCCTTCCCTCTGGTCTTGCACCTCTCCCTACTCACTGCCTTCAGATTAATCTTCCAAGAGCCCAACTCTAGTCCTGCTGCCTCTCTGCCTTTGTGCACACCCAGATCTCTGCCTCCCCTGTCTTTAAGTACAGAAACATGTCCTTGGAGAGCTCTTTCAGATGCCACCTCCATCTTACCACCACTGCCACCAGACGCCACTGAGTTAATTCTGACTCATGGCGACCCCACCTGTGTCAGAGTAGAACTGTGCAGCATAGGGTTTTCAATGGCTGATTTATTGAAAGTAGATCACCAAGAATTTCTTCCAAGGCACTTCTGGATACTCAAACTTCCAACCTTTTGGTTAGCAATTGAGTGTGTTAACTCTGTGCACCACCCAGGACTTCACATATGTCTCAAAGCTTTCTTATTACCCCAGTCAGTTGTCATCTCTTCTCTACCTGAATCCTGGTAGCATTTTGTATGTACCTTTCATTTATAATTCTACTATAATCATTACTGCCAAACTCAATATCGTATTTAACCGCTTATTTCCAATAGCTATTCTTGCTTTCAACTATGTGTATCTTTTCTAGACTGTGAACATTATTCAGTTTATTAAGTGGCCTTTTAAGTGCTGTTAGCCACTGTTCATTGCCCTAAAACACCTAGGGTTTGGTAAAATCTTTCCCAATAGAAGTGTGGTAGAAAGCGTAAAGGAAAGAAATTTCACATTATGCAAAAGCAGATGATGTAATCTGGGGTTATGTCCTCAATTCTGATAAATAGGATTGAAGCTCTTTCTCTTAAGTTTACTTGGTGCCTTTTATTTTTCAGAATTTTCTGTCATCGTTGGAGTAGTGGCATTTGTGGTCATCACCTTCATCGTCGTCCTGGTGATATCTCTGTACAAATGTAGGAAGGCAAGAGCGCGTCGAAGTGGGAAGGAGAACTCCCCACTTAATGTTGCATAAAGGAAGCACTGTTGGAACTGCCAACTACTGCAAATTTTGTTTTGCACTGTGACCAAGAACTTTTAAGAGAACAGATTATATGGAAACACAAATCAGTACTTTGGAGCATAGATACTCTTCGGGTTCAAAGAAAGTTCTTTATCTAACCTGTTACACAATGAGTATCCTGACATTGGCATTAGTCACTTTGGAATGTAATGGATTGGTACAACCAATTCAAAGGTTTTTTTAATTTTTATTTTAACACTATAGCACCTTTTGTACACATCATGCTTTAGACTGTACATTCTGCATTCAGGGTGAAACCAGATCCTTCCAGACAAACAAACAAAATGAACAAATGTCCTGAAAAATCCTGAGTGGACTTTTGGAGAACTTTTGAGTGTAAGACATGGGAATTGGGAGTAGGGGACTTTTCTAGGATTTTTTTCTACCATATGCCTGCCTTTTCATAAAATGCTGTTAATGGGGTTGGGTTTTTTTTTTTTTTTTATGAGTACTTTTTAAGTTTCAAAGCAACTGACAAACTTTTCTATGAATGTGTTAAATGCAAAAGACTCCATTTTGGGCACCCTTAATATGCATTACATTTTAGCACTTTAACTGACTTAAATGCTGTTGATTAAGCACTTGACAGCTAACTATATTTTTATAAGACTACTATACAAACAAACTACATTGAGTTTATGATTTAAGGTACTTAAAGCTTATATGGCCAACATTGTATATATTATATAATTTTTCAAAAAAAAAGGTTTTTATATGGGGATTTTCTATTTATATAGGTAATATTGTTATGTTTGTATATATTGAGATATTTATTTAATATACTTTTGTATAAAATAAAGGTGACTGGGAATTGTGACTATTGTATTCATTGTATCTTCCATTTGTTATTTATGATTTGGTCTTTGTGTGAGTCAGGTCTGCTGCAGTAACAAATGACCTTAAAAATCTCAGTAGCTTACAGCAACTTACCTTTCTTTCTCAATTACATTACATTGTGGTGACTGCAGCTCTTCTTCAATGTCATCTTATTCTAGGACTCATGCTGAGGAGGAGCCCCTCTTTGTATTATGGCAGAGAGAAAAGAAAAACAGTGGGATCAGTAGGCAGCCACATCTTGCAGCTTTAAGCTGCCTCTTAAAGTTTCTGCTCCATACTGACCCCTTGTCTTTTCAGCTTATGTGCCACTGGCCCAAGCAAGTCACATGGCCAAGTCTAACCATACTTTGCCTACCAGGAGGCACCATAAATCACATGGCAGTGGGCAGAGATATGTAATCTCCTTACAGAGAAGGGAGAAGAAATACAGTCTTGCAGACTTAGTTTTCTTCCCATGGGCACTAAATTTGCATTGAGGATAACAGTTGAAGAGAAAGAAAGAAAAAGTCTTTAGATTATTGTTTTAAAAGAAAAATAAAACAACAATGTAACATAAAGCATAGAAAGAGAGATAAGTGGAACATGGTCTCTAGAGTTTTTAAAAACATAAACTAGATTGAGAACTCCTTACAGTCAGGCTCCAGGTCTAGTTCATGTCTATAGCTCCTTTCGGGTGACTGCAGACAGTGGATTCCTGGACAGTCTTGGCTCCGTTGAGTTGACTTCATTACCTTCCTTTGTAAGGTAGAACAGCAGTAAGGCATAGCCATTAAGCACTCAGCTGCTAGCCAAAAGTGTGGCAGTTTGAACACACTATCCACTACTTGGGAGAAAAGACCTGGCAATCTGCTCTTGTAAAGATTATAGCCTAGGAAACCCTATGGGGCAGTTCTATTCTGTCTACAGTGTCTCTATGAGACAGAATCAACTTGACTGTACACAACAATAAAAAGCATTCTCAAAGGTGCATACATGAGTTGTCTACCATGACAAATCACTGCTTCATCATTATGGCTTTTCAAATACAAGGTTCCTACCATGTGTTCAGATTATTTGCTCAGTATACAGACTGAGTAAGTATGTTGAAAGGATACAACTGACATATACCTTTCTTGATTATAACCATGCAGAATCCCCTTGTTCTGTTCAAACGATTGCCTCTTGATTTATGTACAGGTTCCACATGAGCACAATGAAGTGTTCTGGAGTTCTCATCTTTTGCAATGTTATCCATAATTGTTATGATCCATACAGTCAAATGCCTTTGTGTAGTCAAGGTAACACAGGTAAACATTTTTCTGGTATTCTCTGCTTTTAGCCAACATCCATCCAACATCAGCAATGATATCCCTCATTCTATGTCCTATTTATAATCTATGTGGCTGGCATTTCTGGCAGTTCCCTGTTGATGTACCACTGCACCCATTTTTTTAATTCTCTGCAGCAAAACTTTACTTGCCTGTGATTTTTTTTATCTAATGGGAGCTCTGGTAGCATAGTGGCTAAGACATTTGCCTGCTAACCAGACCGCTGGCGGTTCAAACCCACCAGCCACTCCTCGGAAGGAAGGTTGGGCAATCCTACTTCCGTAGTGATACTGCCTCGGAAACCCAAGGAGGGGTCGCTATGAGTCGGATTTGACTCGAGGGCACATAACAACAACAACATAACAACAACAACAATGTCTGTTAAGGATCACAAGCTCACAAGAATATTAGGAAGTTCATAGTAACAAGAAAGGAGCCCTGGTGGTGCAGTGGTTAAGAGCTCGGCTGCCAACAAAAAGGCTGTCAGTTCAAACCCACCAGCCATTCCATGGAAGAAAAGACCTCGTGGTCTACTCCCATGAAGATTACAGCCTTGGAGGTGCTAAAGAATATTTCTACTCTGTCCTATAGGGTCACTTTGAGTCAGAATTGACTTCACAGCTCTGAGTTTCTACAGGATAACAATACTGAGCCCATTCAAATGCAAATAAAATACAGCAGAATAGTGTTGCTGTCAACTGTTTTGAAAGAGGTTTTTAACTGGAACTGAAAATGAGGTTCCCAGAACTTAGCTGGATCACATAACCACTTTTGCCTCTCACTTTGGAAGCCTAGGCAGGCACGTTGTTGTTATGTGCCGTTGGGACAGCCCTGACTCAGCGACCCCTCCTTGGGTTTCCAAGGTGGTATCTATGGAAGTAGATTGCCCAACCTTCCTTCCGAGGAGTGGCTGGTGGGTTTGAACTGCCAGCCTTCTGGTTAGCAGTCAAGTGCCTTAGGCAGTACACTACCAGAGCTCCTAAAACCAAACTCACTGCCATCGAGTCAGATCCGACTCATAGTGACCCCTCCTTGGGTGTCCGAGGCATTATCACTACAGAAGTAGATTGCCCCATCTTCTTCCTTCCGAGGCAGGCATAGTCTAGGAAAAACACCCAGAGGGCACAGCCACCTGAGAGCGGTCCCACAAGAGGGACTCTAAGCAAGCATTCAAATGAGTTGACAATGCAGTTCACCACCCAGCTACTAATAAATTTTAAACCCAAGGAACTCTAACCAGCATTGTCAATGAAATTCTAAATATGAAATATTTGATATAATATCATATTCTAGGGAAGAATCAATGAGACAAACCTTGTTAAAAATGATAGCAATTTTGGAGAAATTAGAGGAAACAGGCCAATGGTTGGTTTATTTGGTTGATGTTGTTTGTTTGCCATAATCAATCTACTGGAAAGATTGCTGGAAAGATTGAATCTCACATTGTTGTAGCACTCTAGTTGTACCAGAAAAAGAGGGAGCACATTTGTAGCAGAGTCTACAAAAGAGATGTTGACATGGGGACAAGTCCTGGAAGAAGTGCACTTTGGTCATTATCTTGGATTCCTGGTCACATGGGGTACCCAGGACAAAACTTGATGTACTACTACATGAGGAGGCAGAACTAGCTCCAGGAGAGAGTGGCTGACCAGGCATTTCCATGCCAGGAATAATTATGGTGTTATGTAATTCCATGGCCTCCTAATCTGAGGAATTTGAATTATCCACTAAAGAAGGGATAGATTGAAAGCAGGTCTGGGTACAAATGAGGTGACTGGCTGTTCACAGGGAAAGAATTCATTACAGACCTGAGTGAGGCAGAACTGTAAAGATTGGAAAGTTTCTATGAATTTTAAACACTCGTCACATTGCCACATCTTTCCTTATCACTGAGACTAAACAGTTGCTGCTAGAATCAACAGTGTGACTGGCACTAGAGCAGAAAATTATACATGCAGGCAGTCCCCGGGTTACAAATGTCTGAGGTATAGACAACTCGTACTTGCCCTTTCATGTTGTGTAAATTTGCTCTCACTTTGAAACAATCAGGAGCTCTGGTGGCGCAGTGCCTAAGGCATTTGACTGCTAACCAGAAAGATGGTGGTTCAAACCCACCAGCCACTCCTCGGAAAGAAGACTGGGCAATTTACTTCCATAAAGATACCACCTCGGAAACCCAAGGAGGGGTCACTATGAGTCGAATCTACTCGACAGCAGTGAGTTTTTTTCTATTTGAAACAACTGAACCAACCTCTACTCACAACAGATTATTCATCACTATCACCTTCACCTGCTGCAGGTGCAGCTTTTAAATCACTGAAAGGTCTAAAGCTTTTTCTTGCACTGAAGTAAGGCTAAATAAGAACCATATGCACCTGTTCCGACTTACCTACAAATTTGTCTTAAAGACACATTTAGAAACAGATAAATTTTGTAACTTGTATTAATTCTACACTGCTATCCAGAAAATACTGCCCTCTGGTGGGCCAACTATTATATTTCATTATTTATCCTGGGTTTCCTGCTCTTGGCGACCCCTCCTTGGGTTTCCCAGGCATATCTATGGAAGCAGATTGCCCAATCTTCCCTCTGAGAAATGGCTGGTGGTTTTGAACCTCCAGCCTTCTGGGTAGAAGTCAAATGCCTTAGACAGTACGCCACCAGAGCTCCCTTTTTTTTTTTTTTTTTTTTAATACAGAAAATACTGCCCTCCAGTGGGCCAAATTATATTTCATTGTTTATCCTGACCCGTAAAGCTAATTGTTAGTAAACTAAACATTATGCTTTGAAGAGATATTTTCACCATCT